TCTCTACCTCTACTACTACTATTACTACTTGTTTTGTGAGTTAGTTTGAACTTGATTGATGGCTATTTTCTTCACTTCCACTAGGAAATGGACCCTTGCTATGTTGTTTTCAACGGGAAGAAACTTGGGATTTACATGTCTTGGCATGAGAATAATGAATATGTGCTTGGGTTAAAAAATGCTATACACAAGAAATACAACAACTGTGACCATACACTTAGAGATTTCAATGCCTATGTTAGAACAACAACTACCTCCCCTAATCTAGTCCCAACTGATTGTGGTGAAAGCATCCCCTCACAGTGGTAAGAGTGGTTCTTGCAAGAATGTTGTGATTATTAGTCTGTTGGTGATGGTGTTTGAACTTTAGATGAGGCTTTCCATGAGCTGCCAATGCAACTGCAATAATTAGGCCTATGATGACACAATTAGATGGTCGATGTAGTTGGATAACATAATTGTATGATGATTTAATTATGGTGTCTAAGGCCTATTAGTTTGGATAACACTAATTTATGTTGGCAGCGATATTTTGGTTGTAATGCAACATTATCTATTAATAATATTGATGCTGCTTTGTAGACCCTCCTCTCCTAGTCCTACTACTTCTACTCTTCTCCTCATCTGTCCTTTGCTCCTACTTCTCCTACTCCTGTTCCTCTACTATAACTGTTTTCCTTGACATAAATTTAGGAAAAGATATGGCCGAACTCCCTTCGTCGGATCTATCAAATAATTATGTGTATGATCTGGGCTTCGAACCAGCATTGAGGAGGGCAAACCACCCATGTCCAAGCATAGTAAGTAACATGTTTTAAAGACACCTCTATAGATATTTTGTTTTGATATATATAATTCTTAAATATAGATAATTCATCCTATACCATGGTTCAGAGAGACATTCTCAAGTTTCGGGGTTGATTTCCTCAATGTTGGTACATTCCCTATAGATGGTCGACTCAAGCAATGTCAAATTGGCTTTTCTATTCTCGCTAGGGCGAGTAACCAACAAGGTATGGTTTTATACATCGATAGGACGAGCAGCGGCCAACCTCATGATATTAGTGCGTAAAAATATGTTGTGCAAGCATGTTTTTAAGGGCGCTTCAAAATATTGGGTACAATATTCCTATATACTCCTCTATGAGGATTGCTGCTTTGAATGTGGGCCTCCACCATGATATTTGACTGTTTTATGCACAGCTTGCTGAGGACAACATAAATGATGTGGTCAGTCTCATAACTTATATCCAGATTAATTGTTATGTCTATATATATGCATGGTTCTGATAACCACATTTTTTCCAACACTTGCAGATTTAGGAGAACGACGTAACATACGCAAGTTGTAGCTTTGAAGCCATTTTAAACCAGGACATGTATCACTTGGATCGTTATAAATGGGAATATGGTGGCCCTATTCTCACTTCAGAGAGAATTCAGGAAAAATTCTTGTGACTAGGAGTGAAGATTCTCGACCAATGCTGATCGTCGTCAGTAGACCTTGTGAACGATCTTGTGAATTAAGAGAGAGTGCACTAGTAAATATATTGCGCTACATCAGTGACATTTTGACATATGAAATGAATGATCTGCACTTCTCTGAGTACGTGGTACGACGTTAGAAAATTCTAGAAAGTTAAATTACTGTTAGTTGTAATAATGAACTGATCTAAATTATTATGGTTTGTAATGAACAAATTTAAATTACTATGTGTTTGTAATGAAGCAATTTAAATTATTATGGGTTTGTAATGCATATATCTTCTTGTCCATTAGTTGCTGATATAATGTCCTTGTGAATTATATTTATATATATATATGTGTGTGTGTGTTCCGGTCATATTTAAATTTTCAAATTTTATTTTTTTGTGTGAAAATATACTGTAGGGGCGGTTCTAGAGTGAACCGCCCCTACAAATAGGAATTATAGGGGCGGCTGGTGTTACAACCGCCCCAACAAATTATTTTTGTAGAGGCGGCTGCTGTTACCAACCGCTCCTACAAATATAGTTATAGGGGCAGCTGGTGACACAAGCCGTCTCTACAAATACATTTGTAGGGGCGGCTTGAAAACCGCCACTACAAACTCTTGATTTATAGAGACGGTGTGGTAGGGGCGGCTGGCAAAATCGCCTCTACAAACCATCGCCAGCCGCCCCTACAATTGTCAACTCCTAAAAGCTATATAGACTACCTGCAGAGACAACACCATTCACCAACGAATCAAAAAATGGGGCAAAAAATCTAAGCATAAACTGAAGAACATGGGAACTCGGATCCCACATCATCTAAGGGGAAAACCCTAGACAACAAACAACACAACACAAAAATCGCATACGAGCGGACACACAAACCAGATCTCAAACGAGGACAAAGGCATTAAACATCAACACACACATTGAATAAGGCAACAAACAAACCCAAGCATCGATGGAACATATCGCAAAGAAGGGGGCAGGAAGAACTTAGCTCGCGAAACCCTAGAAACTGCGGCTCGCCGTGCCGGGGAGTGGCGCTAGGCCCTGAGCGCCCTGCACAAGCGGCCAGGGTCAGCATGCCGCGCGGGGGATCCACACCGACGGCTGCGAGGAAGCGCGCGTCCTCCGAGTCCAGCCGGTCGCCCAGGTGGAACCGCCACACGCGGACCAGTGCCAGGCCACCGTCGGGGCTGGCCAGGGCCACGCCCACCTGGGCGAACCGGACGCCCTCCACGCGGGCGCGCGTGGCCTCGTAGCGGGCGTCGAGCGTGCCGCAGGCCGTCGAGCGTGCTGGGAGTCGACGGGAGGAAGCCGAAACAAAATGAGAATGGGGAAAGGGGGAACAGACGACACAAAATCAGACGCGGAGTCCAAAAGAAATTGAACAGTAGCACTGGTAATCGGGACCCACAACACAGAGAAACAAACGGCGGTGACAAGCATAAGCACACGATGCCCATCCAACGGACACAAAATTTGTGTGCCAACAAACAACAAAACACATGTGTGTCGTACAACATTTTTGTTACTTTATCTGATGCACAGTACCCCGGTTACTTACTGCGTGCTCTGTGTTCTGGCCTTCTGGGATAAGCTACTACTAGTACCAGATCTTAAATGGTCCTCAAACAATCAGGGAACACTCAATCATGCATGCACATCTCGATATCATCAGGAGTTTGCTGTTGACATGGCTCTATCAGGGAACAGTACTAGTAGCAGTGTGTCTGCTTGTTGCATGTATATATAGTGCCGCTCGGCTCTTGGTTACTTGTCAGTGGTGTATATATAAGCAAGAGAATGTATGCATGGATGCTCCCATGATTGCATGCACAGTGTTCTTTTCTATCTGCACCTATCACAATCGTCGTGGTCATATTACTTTGCGAAGCGCGTGTGAGTAGTTTAGAACTCGCTCTCTCCATTTCAGATTGTAAGGTGTTTTGGCTTTTGTAGATATATTGATTATATTATCAATATAGTATATATATCTAAGTGCATACAAAAAGCTACGTATGTAGAAAAACCGAAACGTCTTATAATTTAAAACGGGGAATTCAGAGTACGTCAGTTGAGAAGTCTCTTATAACTTCATAGTAATTGACCACGAGCTGAGGGGAAAATCTGGAATGCATGGTGATATATATATTATTTATTAGTCATGGCTCATGATCTGAAGTAGTACAACAAAGGAACATCATACATCGTGACATGTTGCCCTACGTGCAGTGCATATAGTGCCAATTAATGAATAGTACATGGGAGATTAATTATATGCTACAGATGCTCTGAAGACTTAGCTTGTTGTTTCTTCAGATCATCATGGACAATACAACGTACGTAACAGAGCATCAAGAGAGAAGATCTTGGCGCTAGCTAGCTAGCTAGTAGCGCTAGCTACTCTTGTTGTTGGCGACAGCCTTGTGATGAGCAGGTCCTGATGGCCTGGAGCACGGCTTGCTTCACGACATGCTCATCCACATTATCCACCTGGTTCTGCATCTATCGCATTATTAGTTTCAGTGGGTATATATATGCATCATCACAGTACTGAACACGATGAGCACCGGCACGGCATGCATGATTACCTCTCCCCCAATAGCCTCGAGGCGGAATGTATCCGCACAAGACGCCGTGGCTTGGTGTAGGCTGAGGCCCAGCTCATCAAACGCCTCCAGGATAGAAACAAGCAGCCCGGGGCAGCTCTTGTCAGACAACACGTTGATGACGAACCCGTGCTGCCCTGCCCCTGCTAGGGTTTCCACAGTGACCTGATGTACATACACTAGCTTGTGTGTTGGATCCATCGATATGCATCATCTGAAGGTGTGTGTGTGTGTGTGTTACTACGAACTAGCTATACCGTCGGGGACGGGGAGGAGCTGTGCTTGAGCAGAGCGCCTGCTTCTTCTTCTTCTTCTTCACAGGCCATCTCCTGCTTGAGCGTGACGACCTTCTGCTTCAGCTCCTTGATGTACTCCGACGCGTCCATGATTATGGAGGCGTCGCTCAGCTGTGCAGTGCGACCAGCAGAAACAATTAATCCCAGTAATAATTAACTGTTGTTTGCTGGTGCATGCAATGCAAATGCAGGTCCACCAGTCACATCCAGCATGCCACCTGTTCAAGGGCCGGAGCTGAGCCTAAAGATGTTGTTTACTGCTTCGTTTTAGGACGACATCTATAATAATCCTATAGTTTACAGCATATTCTTCGGCTTACGTGTC